TTCTTGAAGCCCTGCAACCATGTCACTAATGCCTGGAACCTAGTACCAAGCTCATTCAGATACAATAAACACTGACTGACCCATTCAGTCCCACAGATGCTTGCTGAGTGCCCACCGTGGGCCACTGAGGCACTGTGCAAGATGCCTAGGAGTCGAGGTCCAACAAGCACACTCCCTGGAAAGGAGGGCAGGGATTAAGTGCAGAGTGCTGCAGGAGCAGGCAGGGCCTGCTAATGTGGCTGTGAAGAGGGGATGACAAGTCCTGTCTGGATAAAGAAAGGGGAAAGGCAATGAGGGCAGAAGAGCAGATGCAAAGGCACAGAGACAACCTGGCATGACTCTCGGAGGCAACTGTGAATAGTTCAGCTTGGCTGCAACAGAATGGTAGAGAGGCTTTATACATAAGGAAGGAAACTCCATGCACCAGCAGGTAAGCTAGGGCCATAACAGGGAGCGCTTGGATACTAGGGAGTCCCTGAAGGAGTTTAAAGCAGGACACAGAGAACATAATGTATTTTAGATCTCAGCGGCAGAATAAACTACAATGACTAGAGGCAGAAAAACAGCTGGATGGCTGTTACTGAAAGCTGGAGGAGAGCAGAGGGGCCTGCAGGAGGCTGTGGCACAAGGGGCTGACAGACACAGAGGCCATCTATAGTGATGGTACTCAAAGTGGGGGCCCTGGAAGCAGCACCAGCAATACCTGGGGGGAGCATGTTAAAAATGCACACTACTAGGCCCCACCCCAAAACTATCAAATCAAAATTTCAGAATTGGGTAGAGCCCACTAATCTGTGTTTTATCAAGTCTTCTAGTTGATTTTGATGAATATTTAAGTAGGACAACCACTTCTATATAGGACTTGCAACTGACTACATGTAAGAAGTAAGGGAGAGCGAAAAGTTGAAAATGATTTCTAGAATGTTTCTGGCTTGAGGAGCAAGGTGGACTATTACACTACCGTTAACTGAGAGGGGACAGTGGGAGAGGAGCAGGTCTGGAGAGAAGGAACCTAGATTCCCACGTTTTATGTATAAAGAAACTGAAATCTAGAAATATGAAATGACAAACCAGGACTGCTTTTTCTTCCCATTTTCACTCTGTTCAACGTACATACATCTTATAGCTCAAAATGGTATAACAAACCATTATTTACAGACATAATCCAAAACTACTCATAGAAAATGAGTGGTTTTTGCTGCTTATGAAATTACTGTTTCATATGGAGCACTGTGTTGCTAGAAGAACCTCTCAAACACTTACGGAACTAGGAGAATGTGCTGGAACTGAAACAATATGTATGTCTGAGAACTAACATCTCAAGTATGTTATTTGTGGTACCACAAAATATGCCTATGAATAAGACAGGTGCTTGTAGAACTGCTGCATTTTGTTGAAAAATAAAACTGCAGAGGCTTTTCATGATTCTGCCTCTAAAGCTACATTATGGCATAAATTTATTATTTATTTAGGCAAAAGCTTATTTAAACAGTTGTGCTCTCAGCTGAAATCAGAAGTCCTGGATTCCGTGGACCTTGACCTCGTCAATCTACCTCTCCGAAGCTCAGCTTCCTTCTTCACAAAATAAAGGGACTGGACTGGATGAGCACTTACATCCTTCCAGCTTTAACATTTACTATCAAGTGATAGGGTGTGTTTGTTAAGGGTTTTCTTACAGTAATGACTTTAAGAAGTCTTCATTTCAAGAATGGACTCAACCCAGGAATTCTGGGCTACAGCTTGTCATAGCCACTGGTCAGGAAGATTCCCAACACAAGAGGAGAAAATTAGCTAAGGAGTGGCCTCCTTTCCCAAATTTCAAAGTTAAATAACGTTTAGGTGAATGTAACACAGCAAAAATCTCACACTTTCATAAAACACTAGTTTGAACCACCAAACATCTCAATAGCCTGACAAACCCACTCATACTGTGCTCTGTGGACACGCCACACTTTCCCATTTTCCCAGGGATTCAGCTATGAAACTACAAAATGTTGACAGCATAGCACACCTCTCCTTTGGAAAGACAGTGTCTATAGCTTAATGGTTGAAAGTGCTGACTTGACACATTAGGCTAGACTCTCAGCTCCATCACTCATCACCTGGAGATTTAACCCGTTCAGCTTCAGTTACCACCGTATTATAAAACAGGGATAATCACACACCACAGTGTTGTTATGCCATTTAAATGAGATCACATATGTAAAGTATTTACTGTGGGTTAGAACTGGGTTGACAGTGGAGCTACAATGCTGAACCTAAGGAATGGCAGGGCAGATGGACAAACAGTCCTGTGAATGTGCTGGAAACAGGACACGGTGCCGAAAGGGCCTGTAACAGGAGGATGTGATCCAGAGGGCAAGGCAGAGAAGACGTCCAAGAGATGCGCATCTCAAGTTTAAATGTGAAGGATGAAGTAGGCGTAAACTAGGAGAAAGATGAGAAGACCACTCTCTGTAGAGAGTCAAGCCTGTCCAAAGGCCCTGTGGGGGGAAAGAACATGGCATGAAGGCAACCCCTAAGAAATCTGTATCACTGGAGCAGGAAAAAAATGCGTAAGTGTACAATAAGACATGAATCTGGAGAAGACCAGACCACATAGGACCTTTTAGGCATACTGAAGAGGCCCTTCTCGATCCTAACAAGAATAAGAAGCTACTGAGTATTTTTAAAGTGGAGAGATGAGAACAGTGATCAGACTTGCATTTTGAAAAGGTCACTCTACCTGCAATAGATTAAGTTGTAAAGAAGCCAGAAAATGTGGGCAGACAAATTAAGACACGATTTATTGTACAGTCAAGACACATAGTAGCATGAATTAGGGTGACGAGAGGGATAAAATTAAATTGATGGATTCCAGAGATATTTAAGAAGTAAAATCTGGCCCTGACCAGTGTAGCTCAATTGGCTGGGCATCACAGTGCAAAGCGAAAGGTCACTGGTTTCGATTCCCAGTCAGGGCGCATGCCGAGGTTGCAGGTTTGGTCCCCAGTACCCAGTCGGGACACATAAGAGAGGCAACCAATCAACTGCTTCTCTCTCTCTTCCTTTTCCCCTCTCTAAAATAATTTTTTTTTAAAAAGAAGTAAAATCTGTAAAAGAAGTAAAATACAGGTCGTAGATTGAACATACAGGCACTGGAGAACAAGCCGTCAAGAATGAGTTTTGGGGGAGGGCATAAGAAATTGGCTGAAAAGGAACATCAGAAAAGGATCATGTTTTTATTTTGCTTTAAAAACTTTTTCAGGGGGCATTGGAGAGTCAATACAGTCAAGTGCCTAGCTTTGCACATGTCGATTTTGAGGTGTCTTAGAAATATCTAAGAGGAGGCATTAAGTAGGTAGAAAAGATAAAATTTTTAGAAGATAACTTTAGATATCAACAATCAATCTTGAACAATAGGAAAACAGGGTACTGTGACTTGTAAGTCAAAGAAGAGAGGGTTTTAGGAAAGGTGAAGAAGTCAATAGTATCAAACACTGCTAACAAGTAAAGGAAGATAAAGTCTAAAGAATGTCCTCTGGATTTAGCAGCATGGAGGTCTTCAATGACTTGAGTGAAAGCTATGTCAGAATGATGAGACTGGCTGGATATGACTGGGGAATGGAGACTGCAAGTAGAGATCACCTCTCTCTGTATGACACATAGACACAGACAACAGTACAGTGACAGCCAGAGGGCAAGGAAGGTAGGGGGATGAGAGAAGATGGCAAGGGGAGATAAACAGGGATGGAAAGAGACTTGACTTTGGGTGGTGAGCACATGATGCAGTATGCAGGCAATGTTTTACTAAGTAACACACTTGAAACCTGTATTTTATTAACCTGTATGGTTTTATTAACCAATGTCACTCAAATAAACTCAATTTTTAAAAAAAAAGGAAGGAAGGAGAGATACAGTGGGAGCTGCAGGATGATAATAAATGAGATGAGAGGCTGAGTGAGAGGCTTTTGTCTGTTGGTTCTGTGGCTGGTTGGTTTTACGATGGGAAAGACCTGAGCATGTCCGATTAGAAAACACAGCTGAGTGGGAGAGGTGGCCTGTGCAGGACAGGACGGACAAAGCAACATTCCTGACAAGACAGCAGTAGTGAGGAAGGAGGGATCAGACTCCAATAGGAGTCAGGGCCTCTGTTTACTATGAAAGGAGGGTTTAAGGATTAAATATGTATAAGTACAGGCACATTTATACACTGGAAAAGATGAAGGTTCCTACATGATAGCTTCTATTTTCTCTATATAGGACAAGGTCTTCAGCTGGGGGGTGGAGTGAACTGAGTTTTCATATAATCCCTGTGAAGAACAGGACAAAGAAAAAGTCACAGAAACAGTACAACTGCTAGGCAATTCTGAGGCCCAGTTAAGGTATGTGATCATGAGATTACAGTGCAGTAAATCTGCCCTGCTGCCCTACAGATCACTCCCGCAGGTGGAGACTAATGAAAACATATTCTTTTTTGCACTGTTAATTTCCTCCTTACCCACCAGTGGGACCTGGAGCTGCCCCCTCCTCCCCTCCAGCTTCAGTTCCCAAACTGATTCATAAGTGGTATAGAAGTGGAGTTGCATTTATTCTACACTAAACATCTTATAACTAGGAACATCTAGAAAAGAATTAAAAGTTTCTAAAGACCCTGGAGCCAGTGTTTAAGGCCAAACTATTAACCGCTGATTGGGATAACCTGTCTTCGAAAAAACAACTTCCAACAAGTATTCAGAGTTATCACACTGGAGTTCCACTTCTAAGCAGAAACATGCAGAAACATACAGAAACAAGTAGTAAACTTCAAATTTTTACCTTGATGAGTGTGAATTACCACTTTCTTAAATTGGAAAGCACAAATATTCTTTTGTTTAAAAATCTTCACAGAATTCTAATTTCTCAGGTCAAAGTTCATGCGTATTTTTTGATTATGAGAACTCACTTATGTGCCGCTTCCCAGGCTTCCTCTTCTTTCACAATATCTCTCAGGATGTCTGAACTGGAACTAAAAGGATATACGTTAACATTGCCAGACAACAAAGACGGTATGGTTCAATCTACATAAAAGTCTAGAAAAGGTGAACTAACCTACAGTGACAGAAAGCAAACCAGCAGACCAGGTCACCTGTGAGGGGCCGGAGATGGGCAGGGAGGGGTTACAGAGCAGCACAAGGGACTCGGGCTGTGGGGGCGCTTTCCCAGCTGCACATGTTCGTCAAAACTCTTCCAAGTGTGTGCTTCAAATATTTGAAGTTTATTCTACTGTGATTTCCATAAAGCTATTTTTAAAAATCTTTATAGGTTAGCAATAATAATGAAAAAAAAAAAAAAAACCCAAATCTTAAGTAAATCCCTCAACATAACACCTGAATTCAAACGGTATAAAGTCACAGCCTTTTCAATTTCTCATGGTGGCCCAAGATCAAATCGTGTCTTAAAAACTGCTCTCTAGCAATGAGATTCCCAAGAGATGCTAAGTTCCTAAGTGGCTTATAATCCCTTTGTAAGCAAAGTAAAGTAAAATTTAATTAATTTGCACTGTGCTAAAAATGGAATTTGTTATAATGCAATCTGGCTTAAAGTGCTGTGTATGTCTGGCCTATCTGTGCAGAGCAAACAAAATTATAGAGGGCGTGTATTGTTTCTTTATAAGAAAGAACTGTTTTAAGGTTTTAACATCTTGTTCTTACCAAAATAAATTCCTACCAAATAAATATTTTAAAAAATATATGTGTGTATCAATATTGAAAAAGCATTTCTGTAGATATCCAAAGACAGAATGTCACGGGCCCTGCGAGGTCGACTCAGAAGCAGTGGTCACCACGGCAGCGTGGAAAAGGCGAAAACAGAGGACACACTGTCAGGTGCAGAATGACAGGCTTGGAAACACCGGCATCTATCATATTTCCAATGACACTCTAATACATAAAAAGAGCTTAGAAATTATAAAGACTTAAAGTGCCAAGGAATCATTCATAACTACTTCTGACAAATCACTTGAAAGCAATGTTTCCTATGATGCCTGGGAAAAAAGGCAGTTAACAGTCCAAAACTACAGTTCTGTACCAGAAGTTTTATTCAGAAGATTTCCGCCCGAACCCTGGGACTCCAGGGGCTCTTTGCAGGGCCCCTCTGCCTGAGGTCCGAGTGTGTGATGGCCCATGTGTGGGGGCTCCCATCACACCTCAAGTAGAGTGGCCCTCTGATATAGGTACACAATAGTCCTCAGGCTTTTCAGAATAAGAATTCTCATTTGGTGGTAGCAATACTTGTAGCATTTGTGGCTTGACAAAATACATAATGATAATGAAGCATTATAAAATCAGTAGTACTTTGAGTTTATCTTTTATTCATTATAGCAGCACGTGCACACATTTTCAAAACAGTAGTGCCTGCATTTGTGGACACGACGTCCACAGATGGTCTTTGCTATGCAATCATTCCTTCGGGCTCCGGGTGGGAACCCCTGACAAAGCCTATCAAAGGACCTAAGCCCCTACCACCCTCTCACACCCAGGACGGCCCACTGCTCACCAAGTGCTCCTGAAAACAAAAACGTTCATTTACCACCAGCCATCCTCACCTTAGGGCACACTGGCTTACAACAAGCTTTCCCATTAAACGGCTAAACGTACTTTTTATCAGCAGGGAAGAGGGAAAAGCAGGAGGCCTTAAGGAGATCCACAGCCAATTTCACCAACTTTATTATCTTCCTAAGAGAAAGACCCAAAGAGCCACTCACTAGGGAGGGCTTAGACCCACGGCCAACCCTACTCCCATGGAAGTGGTCTACACCTTTCCGATCCCAACCTTTGTTATTCTTACCTTGGTGATAAATCATTGCAACTTTATAAAGAAAACTGGAGCTCCTTTAATGTAACTCTTTCGTTCCCTCTCTCTACTCAAGTTATAGCGATACCCTCGTCCATTCTTTTTCTGGACAGAGCAACAATGTACAACCCGTGTGCTGTAAGAATTTTTAGAACATGCAGTACCTGTTTAGTAAGGGGCACTGACCTCTTTCGCCTCAGACTGTCAAAAAAATGACAATAGCCATTTGGTGTGAATAGATCAAAATTATACTTATTCTTTTTGGTCAGATAGGCAAGAAATACATCTTCTGGTCTGCTGCAGAGTTTTGGTTCGTTATGTGTGCCTGAGGTGAGAGAGGCTGAGAAACACCGGGAGTGGCAGCGGAAGTGCTCCTGGGCCTTTGCCTCAGTGCCCCCCCACACACCACCCCCACTGCCTTTTAGACAAGTTTTCCCAATTGTCCCTCCAGGAAATTTTAATGCCACAAATGTAATGTACATGTAAATATGTGTCGTACTTATACTGTGCTTTGTGCATAAAAAGAGTAAGATATTTTGGGCATCCCTGCCCCCAAGAACCAATTTCTACCCCCTAAGGGACAAAACTGCTCCTGTCGAAAACCCCTGAGTTAGAGGACTGGGACTAGCGGCTGGTCATGTGGCTCTGGGTCCTGGTAGGTATCACATTAACTAGAAAAATGAAGTCAGCTTCTTGCTGACACCTCCAAATGCACACATACTATTTTTGTAACAGGAAGGTTACAAAGCATCCCTACCATTCCAGCTAAGTAAGCAGAATGACCAAGCTTGTCAACTAACTTAGTAATCTGTGATCAATTTACCAAGCAGCCCTCAAATCACCAGTACAAATAACTGAATTGTTAAAGAAAAATATTTGCAGTACATTAATGACATAAATCTAAGAGGTTTTTGCTATGCAACCTCAGGAAAAACAGATGGTAGAGGAGGTCGGCAAAAACACACCTCAAAAGTTGCCTGCAACCCCCTCTTCCTCTGAGACTCCAGTCAGTGGCCCTGACCAGGCAGACCACACGGCTCCATGTGGCCTCAGTTCTCACTGCCCTGCCTTCTGCTCCAGCTCAGTTACTAACTGGAACAATAGCCAATCAGTAAAGTGACTGATACCCAGTTGAGGAGGTCTGGCCCTGGCCAGGTGGCTCTGTTGGTTGGAGCATCGTCCTGTAGACCAAAAGGTTACATACAGGTTTGATTCCTGGTCAGGGCCCATTCCTACGTTGTGGGATGGGTCCCACTCAGGGCGCGTACAGGAGGCAACCAACCCATGTTTCTCTCTCTTTCCCTCTACTTTCCTCTCTCCCTGAAATTAATAAAAACATATCCTCAAGTGAGAACTAAAATAAAAAGTTTGGGAGGTTTAAAGTTTACCTAAAATGAAATTCCAGGATTATCAGCTATATGTGCTGCTCCAACTCTAGCCACCACTGGGAAATGAAGTGTTGACACTAACACAATTACAAAAAGGAACTGCTTTATTACAATTACAAAAAGGAACCGTTTATTCCTTTTCAAAGTTGTGTACTTACTATATTCTACTTAGAAGCCACATTCCTGAAATTAAGTGAACAGTTTCACAAGTAGGATTTTACAGAGACTTGGGCCATGGGGGCATAATGGTCAGTGGTACTAAATTATCCCTCTCAGATCTCTTCCTTGTAAATAGAAGTAAGCAATATTTTTGAAGTCTTAGCCATTTTAATATGCTTTGGAGATAAAAATAACTTCTTTAACACACATACAAGACATCTAAAAGAATCCTCCGCAAGAGAAAATAATGACTCACTCTGGTCTACCTAGGGTCGAAGCATGCATAAATCTACACAGCAAAAGCTTTTAATTCTTGGGCAAAGAATGTTTTCAGAGTAAACTAGCTTCTCTATTTTGGTTTGGAACGTTCTGGCTTTAAGAAGCTGGATAAATATGAGGTCTGGTACATAAAAGTTATAGCTCCCTATGGAAGTTTATTCATATTGTGCTCCCTAAGCTATTATTATCCAGATTAAATACACATGAGAAAGCCTTATCAAAAAAAAAAAAAGAAAGAAAGAAAACAAGCAGAAATAACTTCTGGTTGGTATGGCTCAGTGGATTGAGTGAAAGCCTGCGAACCGAAGGGTTGCTGGTTCAATTCCCAGTCAGGGCACATGCCTGGATTGTAGGCCAGGTCCCCAGTAGTGGGTGTGCAAGAGGCAACCACACATTGATATTTCTTTCCCTCTTTAAAAATAAATAAATAAATAAATTTCTAAAAAAAAAGAAAAGAATCTCAAAGTCAATAAACCTTCCATCCTCTGTTCAGTAAGACTGTAGTAGGTCAACCACAATTAGAATTTCACACCATTTAGACCTTATTTTAAGCTCAAGGTTTCAGAAGCATAAGCTCAACTGGTTTTTGTTTGTTGGTAGATTGTTGGTCTTCCTAAAATACCAGCATTTCACCTCTGTCATTCTGACCAAAAGTGCGGCGCATCTTCTCAGGCAAAGGCAAACACTATTGTCACATAGCATCTATTGCATCTCATCTCATTCCATTAGTCCAGATTTTACCCACAAGGAGGAAGAGGAACACGCCAAATACTCTGGCAAAGGTATGGTTGGTAATACTGTCCGGAGGGAGAGAGCACTAGTTTTAGCTTCAAAGTTCAAGTTTCAGTCAGGTTTCTTTCACTTACAACTTTGGACAAGTTGCTTAATCTTCCCAAGTCTCAACAGTCTCACCTGTAAAGTCAGGATAACACACACGTGGTTCACACAGACACTTTTAAGGTTGGTCAACAGGACACACAGAATGTTCAGCATATAGACTGGCATATGGTGTTCGATAAGTGTCAGCTCCATTTCATAAAACACATTTCAGTCTGAATTACCTGAATAACTGCCTTAGCACTATGCTTCAGTTTGGCCTAGGAAACCTGGTCACTATTGAGCTCTATTTTAATCTTTGATTTCCACTGTTTCTATGACACCGGGGTGCAAATTCATCAGAACTTGTTATTTGTCCAGCATGGCAAGGACACAGGGTACTGTGGGGTAAGAAAAATGCAAACATCTGAGATAAAAATCCCGTGGATTAGAGATTACTTACAACTGAGATTTTTCTATTCTCTTGTAGTTACTCCCCATTCCTTCTCATAATTGTGGCATTATTTTGAATGTGGTTGAAAACAGCCAACCAAAAGAAAAAACTCCCTCAAGACAGTTCGCCGGAGCGGTGACGGCATGCGCACAATGCCCACCAGACGGTGGGACCTGAACAAATGTTGTGGTACCCACAAATCCCGCCTCAATTCCCCGTTAGTACTCCGTTCTGCAGAGCAAGCAAAAGTTTATACACCAAAATGTTAGCCGTAGGCTGACAATAACATACTAGGAAAGTAAACATCCTAGGTTCAAATAAAATCTCTCCATGACGACAGTGACAGAAATGACCACTCCATGAGCAACTACGTCCACAATTGTGATAATTGGCTTGCACACACTGCCTTTCCATCCTACAGGCACACCAGGTCTTACCCCCACCTGACAGATGAAGAGTGGCTTGGAGAAATTTAAAAACACAGGGGAGTAAATGTGAAACTCATCTTTCTACTACATCATGTTGCTTCGACCAGTGGTGGCAGAAAACACTATTAGGCCACCGAGTTAAGAACGCCACCTCCTGCAGTGCATTCGTCAGGGAGGTTCCATTGGACAGCGGCGTCACCAAGGCTCATGGGTAAAGCAAGGCTAGGAGTTTCCCTGCTCTCCACTAGATCTGGAAAAAAGATAAAATGAAGAAATCTTCAAACACGAGAACAGTACCAGGAAGAATTTGTTTATCAATACATGCTAAGTCCTTAAAAAGAGAGGAAACCAAAAGAACCAACTTAGTTTATATTCTTTCTGTTCACTAACAATATATGACCATCTCATTTGCTTTTTAGAATCACCCAGGGAGATTACAGGGCAACACAAACTATCATTATATGTTTCCTATGAGGAAACTGCAGCCCAGGGAAATTAACAAACAAACAAACAAGCACGAAGCCATGGCTGAACTGAACTCTCACAGTGGAACAAATAAGACTGTGTGGTGCACGAATCTAATGGACACATATCCATCTCAAGGACTCAATGTCATAGTATCTTAGGTAAAGACACACCTCAGATCAATGTCTTACTCATCCAAAGAACAGACATCATGTAACACACAGTTTAAGCTCTTCTGAAACCCCAAAAGATACTTTCTCTAAAAAATTCTGACAAAATTTCCCATATTTTGTCTAAAAAATGTCAACAAACAAAATTTACCACCTGAAACAAGATGCACCATTTAGCTTTCTGGAGTAACCTGAAGTTCATAAATGTTCCCAGACAAAAGGCTACATAATAAAATACAAAAAGGTCACGCATGTTAGCAGAAAAAGATTTTGTGGCAACATTAAATTCATTAAATGCCACATTTTAACAGTTAAAAATCCAAGTGTAGCCCTGGCTGGTGTGGCTCAGTGGACTGAGTGCCGGCCTGAGAACCAAAGGGTCACCCGTTTGATTCTCAGTCAGGGCACATGCCTGGGTTTCGGGCCAGGTCCCCAGTGTGGGGCATGAGAGAGGTAACCACACACTGATGTTTCTCTCCCTCTCTCTCCCCCTACCTCTCTATCTAAAAGCAAACAAACAAACAAATAAATAATCTTTTAAAAAGTCCAAGTGTAATATGTCAATGTTCCAAAAGCAATTATAAGGATTTTTTAAAATTACAAAGCTATCACTGAATTATAGAAAGATACTTACAACTTAGGTCACTGTTCAGTTACTCTGGTGTTTTCTTTAGATACTATTTTCTTTTCATTTGACCAGAAACATAATCTTATTTTGCAATTTTTCTAACAAATTAGATGTCCTCCCAATTACAAAATCCCATTAATATATGTGTCTCACCTTACTGCCTGCATCACCAAACTTTATTAACCAATTTACAACAATGACATTGATAAAGAAAGTGATGATTTCCAAAACCTTACTTTAAAGCGCCTCTTTTTGTGTGTAAAGTAGACTAACACATTTACATAGCTGAAAGTCAAAATGACCTAAAATGCAGTGCACCGAGAAGTCTCACTTCCCCCTCTGGCCCTGGCCAACCCGTCCCCCCTCATCTCCAACAAGTAATCACTTATTAATCACTTATTAGTTTGTTTATTCTTCTGGTGTTTCTTTGCACAAAACTAAATGCAAGTATACATCCTTTCCTCCCTTTTTAGAAAAATGAAGAAGAATGCTATGTATGCTGTTCTGAACTTTGGCCTTTTCACTTCCAAGCAGATCCTGGAAATCTCTCCATGTTAACAGAGAGATTTTCCTTTTTTGACAGTTGCACAGTATTTCATTGTGTGGATATACTGTAGTTTAACCAACCAGTGCCAGGTAATGAAAACGTGAGTAGGTTCCAGTCTTTTGCCGTTACAAACAATGACTCGATGAACAGCCCTGAGCACAGGTCATTTCTGCAGGTGTGCAGTGTAGGTGCATCTGTAGGACAAGCTCATGGGAATACCAGGTAAAAGGCAAAAACAACAGTGCTTTCGGCTGATCTCACTGGATTCCTCTCCTTAGGGACTGTACCATGTCGCACCGCAACCAGCACTAGATGAGTGTATTTCCCCACGGCCTTCCAGCAGAGTATATTAGCAAATGTTAAGATTTTTGCCAACCTCAACAGATGAGAAATGATGTAATTAGCATTTCTCTTTCATCAAACAGGTATGACTTTTGCCCATTTTTCTAGTGGGTTTGTGGGTCCTTTCCTTCTCAGTCTCCAGGTGTGCAAAATGAGTATCTATTCTTGAATGTTTTTTAAAAGGTTCTATTAAATGCTATAAAGGATAAGAAAATACATTAGCATGTCTTCTTTCATTGTCAGATATTTTCACTAGCGTATCTGAAACTTAACCTTTTTTTAAAGATATATATTGAAATTTTTCTCAGTGGATCAAAAAGAATTCCAAAGAAGCATCTATTACATGTATCTTAACTTTAATTCTGATAGCAATCCAAAGTCAGATTTGTCTGATTTCCTTCTAGTACCCCACACTGCCCCCTGTAACCAATGTGGGAACCGTGGCTAACCCCAATTAGCTGCCTAGTCTGAGCTGTACACCAGCAATTAACATGAAAACGAACACCTATTTATCTGACTTTATCACCAGACTAATCTCATTTAAAATTCTTGACCACAAATCTCAAATGGGCAACGCTTGCTACCAGAGGATCCTACAACACTTATCTGGCATGTTCCCTCTCTCACTCGCAAAGACTTTCTCAAATTGCCTACCCGCCATCCCAGCCCGCTCTCTACTGGTAAACTGGCCTCACCTCCGTTAAGAAAATGAAAGCAGCCAGGCAGGACCACCATTCACCCAGTTGCTGAAGCCAAAAATTTAGGATTCATCCTTGATGTTGAGCTTTTCCTTGCTTATCATATCCAAGACATCTTCAAGTTCTGCCAATCCTACCTCCAAAATACATGCCCCCCATTTCTATCTTCACTGCTATTATTGTGATCCACTCCGCCATACACCCTGGAAGAGATCGTCACAAAAACCTTACTGGTCTCCCCACTTCCACTCTCAAATCACCTCTAGCCTCCATCCATTTTTCACGGCATCTAAGGTCATTCTTTTAAAACATACAAACAAGACCATACTGAATTGGATTAATATTGATGTCAACTGATCCCCAAGTTGGTCTATAAATTCTATGTAATTGCAACCAAAACTCTAGCAAACTTTTTTTTCTTAAGCAATTGGCAAGTTGATTTTCAGGTTTACATGGAGATACAAAAGACCTAGAACAGCCAAAGAGTTCTGAAGCCCACAGCAGGAGCCTCTGGCCTCCAGCATCGCCTCTTTCTGACACGCAAACACTATGATTTTCTGTGTGCCAGGAAAAGGGTTGGGAACCGCTGTATTACAGAGAAGCATACCTTTTAGGCCAATCACTTTAAATCCTTATAAAAAGTGAAGAAAAGTACTGTGGGTTGTTTTCTTAAGGAAGAGAAATACAAAGACATTAGGTGAATTTAGAGAGATAATTAAAACATCTGTGCTTATGTTTAACTTACACATTGGAAAAACAAAAGAAGGCATCAACTCTGAGAGTCTAATTAAAAAAAATTATTTTAATTAGCAAAACTTCCACTGCTAAAACTAGGTACAAAATTAAATTCTCAAGTTAAATGGGCAGGGAGACAAAGTCACGATGCTTCATTTTGTTTTGCTTTTTAGACTGTCGGCAATGTAAATAATTGAAAAATAAAACCCAACTACTAAAAGATAACAAAATCATTAACAGGTTATAACATGGAGCCCATGAAAAGAAACAAATTAAAGGACAAGAAAACCTCAGGGATGGAAATTCCTTCTACCACTGAAGAAGCCTTCACTTGATCACACATTTCTTCCATAACAGGGACTGGGAGCGGGGCAGGTAGCTCATGAAGAGATCAGCGTGTCTTCTGCACGAGCAGGCCAGCTTCTACACAGCTCGCCCAGCTGCCCCTGCTGAGAACACACGTTCAGCTCTGCACATGTGGGGTGCCTGGCCAATACCAGCCATCCAAACCAGGGAAACCCAGTATCTAGTCCAAGCTCAGGCCATAAAATTCCAGTCTTATGATGTTCAAGGGGGGAAAGAATTTTAAAACCACCTTATCTTGCTGGATTTTAGGCAGTGGACACTGAACTTCTCTGTGATTGTCTCCACATAAAATGAAGGGTTTGTCTAAATGACCTAGGGTATGAGAAATAATTATTGCTCCCAACTTATATTTGCCCCAGCTTTTAATTGTCTGATACGTATTTTTGAATTTTCATTCATACTGTTACCCATACAGGTAATAAATGGCTAATAAAATGTACTTACTAGGGCAAGAAAAGCATACCTAAGCACACATCAATGAAAGCTTAAAGGCTTCTACAACCAACTTCTACAAAATCACCTAAAAAAAAAAATCCAGATAGGCCTCTGCAGCTGAGGCCTATCACGCTTTAACGCCTGAATCTCTGAGGCACAAGAACAATGTGTACCACTTACGTGGCAGATCAACCGGAGTGTGCAGTGTCAGCAACTTCATATGCACCCATGCTCCAGAGTGTGACCAGCTGTGTGGGAGTGAAGGGAACGGAGAAGGCGTGCACATTAGCACTGTTTGTCCTTCTGGCAAGGCAACCATAAGATGCAGCACCTAGACCCAGGCATTCTGGAGGGCAACACGGGTGCCATCAACAACGATGCCAAGACAAGAAATGGAAACCAGCTTATCTCAGGGAAACCGAAACAAATAGTCATTCTATGTCTAACTGATATTTTGAACAACTCCATTAAAATGCTCCTAATAAAGGAAACAATGGTGCCCAATACAAAATTTCTGATGTAACTCACATTACGATGGGGAAGAACATGGGCTAAGATTTATTGGTTTCAACTCTATCCACTGAATGACTTAAAATAAGTTACATTAGCCCTCTGGGCCTCCATTTCCCTACCTGTGACATGAAGCTACCATATTTAGCGACTTCCTGAAGTACCTTCTAACTTGAAAATGTTTTTATTTCATCCTAATGTGCCTTTTTCCCAGGTTCCAAGTTAGGTCTCTGAGGAGCCTTCATAACACCTGTTCCTCTGATTGAAAATCAAAAGTAGTGGAGTTCCACCCAAGATGGAGGCATAGGCAGAAACACTTCACTTCCTCACACAACCAAAAAAAGGATAACAAAC